ACCTCGCGGGTGCGCACCTCTGGAGGGGTGGGGACCGCGCACCTCGTCGAGCCGGGGGAGAAGGGCTCGGACCGCGGCCCGGCACTTCCCCCTTTTACACCTGGGGAAACTGAGGCTGGGAAACGAATCGAAAGGTTGGCGGGGTCGGGAGGAGCGGAGCGGCTTGGTTTGCCTTTGGTCTGGCCCCTCCTGTAGGTGCGGCCCCGTCGCTCTCTAGGGTCTGAGTGAGCTGAGGGTGTGCAGCCCGGGCGTCCCCACTGAGGTCCGGTCCCGCTTGGACACCATTCCTTCCCCGGGGGATGGGCAGTGCTGGGCTCCTCGCTGGCCCCAGGCGGTCTCGCCCTACACGGGGCGCTGGACGGGGTCCAGGCAGAAGAAAAGATTTGCCTTAGATGCTGAGCGTGGGGGTAGGGGCTGAGCTAGGAGGGAAGTTTGAAAGGGATGGAGGGACCCCGTTCCTGCGGAGCTCCCCGCCTTGTGTCTTGTCTCTGAGGCCACCTCAAATGGCTTCAGAAGGTGAAGGCGGGGACCCACCCAGGCGTCCGACAGAGCTGAGAACCCGGTGTCCCCCAAAATCTGTCTCGTTTACCCAGGCCCCCACTTTCCTTCTGCATCCGCCGCAGGGAGGACTCCCAGGATAATGCCCCCTCCCCTCGCCCAGCACTGGACTCCCTCCCTGCACCTGCTTGGCATCTAGCTGCTGGCTCAGGTGTGCCCTGGGCACAATGGACTATTGTGCGCCCCTGATCTGGTCACTGAGGGAAGTTCCTGCTCAGATCAGCTGGCCCTCTGTGAAGAGGCTGTCCAGCCATCTCCCGGGACTACAGGCCGGCGTGGGGGCCCCAGGGACCTGGAATCCAGGCCACGGGGGCCACAGCTTCTGGAGTCCACTCTGGTGGCGAGAGGGCGAGGGCCCTGGCAGGAGGCAGCATGTGGATGGGATCGAGTCCTTCTGTGGTGTGACCAGGCCAGGCTCTGCACACCTCAGAGCTTCCCTGTCTGGAAACGTGGCCCAGCCCTGGCCTCAGGAGCGGCCTGTACCCAGAGGGGTGCCAGTAGGACTGGTCCAGGCCAGAGGAGGCTGCTGCGTCCCTGGCTGCACTGGGCTCCCTCACCCCCGCCCGTCTCCACCCCCAAGGGTCGGTCTCTGTGAAGGACACCTGTCCCTGGCCCTCATGCCTCTCCTGCCCGTGGCCGGGGCAGGTTCTTGGTCCTCAGCTTCTCCTGTGACCAGGTGATGAAACTGAGGGATGCTAACGGAGGGTCCTCAGGCTGGGTGGATGCCCCTGCTAAGGAGGATGCCTCCGCACCCCCCTCTAGATGAGCTCAGCAAATGGTCAGCCCCCTGTTCCCTCAGGAGGTGTATCTGTGCCCCCCCCCCCCAGCTCCTCACCTCGCAGAGCAGGTCTGGGGCACACGCTGGCTGGTTGTGGCCTTGGGAGCCTGGACAGGCCAGGGCAGCCTGGGCCTGGCAAACAAATCCAGGATGTGAGTGTGAACTGGGAGCCAGGCGGGGCCAGCTGCCCCAGAGGAAGCCCGCACCGCCTTCCTGCCCACTTGGTGCTGCTCCTGCTCCCGGAACACTGTCCCCACCCAGCTGGCTCCGGGGAAATGAATAGACCCCAGAGTTGGCCGGCCACCCAGCCAGGAGGCTCCCCCTGCACCTGCGCCCCTCCCTTTGGCAGTGAGAGCTGAATCAGCTGGCAAACCTGTTTCCCCAGTTGTGGGTCTTGGCCCGCCCTGGGGCGCAACCCCTTTCTGCCCTTCCTCTCCCCTCACTGTTCCCAGGTCCAGACCCACCCTTGCCCTCCCCCTGGGGCCCTGCTCAGCTACCTGTGGGGGAGGGAAGGGGCTGTGGGTGCTCCTGCAGGAAGAAGCCGCATCATCAGTCTGAGGTCCCTCGGGGCCCTGGTGGGGACACCAAGGCAGGGTCATACCAAGGTCAGCAAACAGTTTGGGGCAGAGTTCCAGCCGGCCTCCTCCTGTGTGTGTCACCTGTCCTATGGGCAGGGGCTGCACAGCTGTGTTCTCCGTGGGCTCTTCCTCCCCTTTCCCCAAACCAAGCCGGGCCTCAGCCCAGGGGTCCCCGTGTTAACCTCATTGTACTTGCTACTCCGGGCTCCACAGTGCCTCACATTTAGTAGGTGCTCCTTGAGTCCAGCTGAGTGGCTGGACAGAGAGCCACAGCAGTGACCAATGAGGGAAGCCGGGCCGAAGGGGGCTGAGTTTGGGCCCTAAGGGCTTCAGGACCGGAAACAGCGGGAGCAAGAACAGGACAGTGGAGTGGGGGGCTTCCCTGGGGATCGCATGGGGAAGGGGTGAGAGGGGGAGGGGACAGCACCCAACACGCTAGCAGTAGGGCAGCATGGAAAGTTGATGCAAAATAACATGCAAATGAGTAGCCCCTTTTCTGCTGGAGCAAGGATGTCCCCCAAAAGCTCCCCAGTGAAAATGAACATTGTGGGGGCAGGGGGGCCCCCAAGCTGAGGGGCACTCAAGGTCACAAAGGTCAGGATAGGACAGACATGGAGGTGGCAGGTGGGGAGCCAGGTTGAACTCCCCAGTTTTGCCTTTGAGGACTCAGGTTCCAGGGAGGTCAGGGCAGAGGTGGATGGGCCTTGCTCTGCCCACCCCTCCCTGACTGGTGACCTCATGGAAACCTGGGAAGGCCCTCTGCCCGCTCTGGGACCTCAGCTGGGTCCTAGGCTTTCCTGTGCCTCAGTTTACTGTCCTCCATCGCCAAGGCAACCCCAGGGGGTGGGGCTGAGGTATTGGGGAGAGTAGCAGAGCCCAGGGGCTGGTAATCCCTGAGGTTGTTATGGCAACTGGGGAGCTGATATGGAATTGTGGGGTCCCCATGGAAACAGGGTCTGTTACTCTGGGGACCCTGGAAGGAAATTCCTGGTTTCCATAGTGATAGGACAAGGGTAAGATTAAGCCCCGGGTGGGGTGTTGTGGAGACCAGAAGGGTCCACCCCTTTCAAGATCCCCTCCCCAAGTAAAGGGGGGAAATGCCCCCCCCCCCCCCCCC